TACACAGGTCTTGGATCTCTTCCTTTGTTCTCCAAGAAGGCTTCTTCAGCGTGATCTCAATGGCACTGGGAGGAAAGTGCCCCTGGGGAGAGAGCAAAAGGGACATGTGGGTGATTGCAAGGAACTCCCCACATGCTTGCTTTGATGCTGTCCCCTCCTAGGCAATCATGGCAGGCCTGAGTGTCCCCCAAGGGCCAGGCATCGGCATGAGCCTCCTCGTGCACTGTTGCACTGCTCAAGAACTAAAGCACGATTCCTCTCCCGACTCTGGCAGATGAAGAAACTCAGACACAAGGACAGTCCAGATCTGTCACCTGCCAAGGCCTGCATCTCCAACCGCCAGGACCCTCCACCTCTGCCCTCTAGTAAACCTCTTAGACCAGGGGTGCTCACACTTTTTCAGCATGCAAGCTACTTATAAAATGATCACGTCAAAATGATCTACCAACTACAAAAATGCTAACCATATATTTATTTTTATTCATTACATTTATTCAAAAATGCATTGAGAATTCTTTATATATACAATGTCTGTTTATGTACCTTGCCTAACTGCATGAGTCCACATTGCACAACACAACACAATGAACTATGTACATTTTTTGTCACTATCTGAGTTTACTCCGATGACTTGCACTGAATGGAATGAGCCAGGGATGCATAGTCCGGACAGGAGCTGCTGACAGCCAGCCTCAAGCACACTTCCAAATGATCATCAGTCATGGTGGAACGGTACTTGGACTTAATGAGCTTTGTGTGGGAAAAGGCTGACTCACATCAATAAGTGGAGCTGAATCATGCAGTCAAGGAGGTAGCACATTTTCTCATGTTTGGGTACTTTCCCTCTGTGAGAAAATTCCAGAACTGTTCATGCGCTCTGGACTTCAGCTGAATGTCGGCTGGTCATGTCAAAATCTCCCATTCCGTATGAAAGTGACACGTTTTTGTCTTCTTATTGGTCCAGCTCCCCCACTCATTTTAATACCCTTTCTTACGTTTAAGAAAAAAAAACAAGGTCTAAAAGTTGGTGATAGCTTGTCAGTTTTGCTGTACTTAGCGCAGTTTGTGCATGCGTTTGACACCTACGATTGCATCTGAGTGGCTGCGCTGTATATCAATTAAGTGATGGGAGTGATGATAGGCTTACATGTATTTTTTCAATGCCTTGCGATCTACCCACACTGCATTTGCGATCGACTAGTAGATGGAGATCAACGTATTGAGCACCCCTGGTCTAGACAATACCGAGCGCTTCTCTGGGCTTCAGAAGCACTGCAGTGTCCCCTGAGTCGTTCCCTTTCCCTTCGCAGTTTATGAGACCAAGAAGCCAAGGCCCACCAGAGAGCTAGCAAAATAGTTTCTTCCCAAGTAAACCAGGGAGACAGCGGCTAGCTGACTGGCAGATCTGCTCATTTCTCTTTCTCAGTCCCCATCTCTCAACCCAGCAACTCTATTACCCCAATCAGACGCAGTCCCCAGTTTTCATTCATGCACGTACATTGTTGAGGCTCTGGCTCATGCACGTACATTGTTGAGGCCCTGGCTCCTCCCAGACAGGATTTAAGGGGCCAGTCTCCCCTGAAGCTGATTTCACTCTGTTGGTAGACGGAAGCTCAAGTGTAGACACCCAGGGCTGCCAGCGAGCCTCCTGTGCAGGAGTTTTGTTCACTGACACGGTGGAGGCTGCTCGCTTGCCAGAAGGAACAGCTTCCCCAAAAGCCGAGCTCATCGCCCGGACCTGAGCTCTACACACCGCCAAAGGAAAACCAGCCAACATATTTACCGACTCCTGGTATGCCTTTTTGATGACCACAAAGCAATATGGAAGAACGGGGTTCCTATCTACTAAAGCAGCAGTTCTCAACCTGTGGGTCACGAACCCCGTGGGGGTCGAACAACCCTTTCATAGGGGTTGCCTAAAACCATCGGAAAACACATATTTCTGGTGGTTTTAGGAACCAAGACTCCACTACTCTATCTGTCTCCAGGTAGGTCTGCCCACATGCAGATACGCCCACATAGGAGTTACCCTGCGTGATGCCATCAGATATTTATATTATGATTCCTAGCAGCAGCAAAATTACAGTTATTAAGTAGCTACGAAAATAACTTTATGGTTGGGGTCACCACAACATGAAGAACTGTATTAAAGGGCCATGGCATTAGGAAGGTTGAGAATCATTGTACTAAAGGTTCCCCCATTATTAATGCTAAATTAATTGCCAATCCTCTTGTAAAGTAGCTTTTAGTTATTTGCTTTTATTTTTTATTTGATGTCCTTTCAAAGTGACATGTTCTTAAAGTATTTTTCTTCTATTTAAAATGTGTGTATGCAATTGATGTATGTATGGATTGTGATAAGAGTTGTATGAGCCCCTGATAAAATGACTAAAAAAAACCCAAAAACTGCCAACCAAAAAATAAAATAAAATAAAATGTGTGTATGTGTGTGTATATATACACATATATATATTTTAAAATCATATTAACTTTACCAAGTGAAGCCAAGCCATACTGTTTTTGAGTCAATTAAGAAAATCATAGTGATTAAAGTGTAGCATTTTGGGGTGGTGGAAATAGATGAAATGACTTAGTATGTTCTAGACTACTGAACGAAAACCACCTTAAGAACTGAGCTGAAAGTCGTAGCATGGGCTGAAAAGCAAGAGGGAAAACAGAATGATTAGTAATAGGTTTTTGTGTTTTGTTTTAAAGAGGGAAAAAGAGAGTAGTTTTGTCTTGAAGTATCATGTCTGGTTGTGCCAGAATGTGAAAGATAGTAAAGCTAAACTTGAGGAGGGTCTGTCATAAGTTGTAGAAGTTTTGAGGGGAAGTGAACTTTAATTGCCTTGGTTTACAACACCAGCAAATAATGCATTTGAAAGAAGGGATGAAATGTTTTGAAAATTTTACAAAGTAGATCGATTGTGGTGGACTTATTCACAGGAGAGTGAAAAAGGCTGGTCCGAAGGTAGTGAGATCTCACAACCCATTTGTCTACCCCCCACCCCTACCCCTTAATCCTGAGGCCCCCTATGTTTGTCAGGTTTTGGAACCCACTCAAATATGCCTCAGTCATAGTCTTAACCCTACTAAGGATGGTTGAAGCCCATCACTCTTATGTGTGGCGTTTTAAATTCAAAGAAACCTACACTTCACGACCGAAATAACTCATCTTATCAGCCAGGAAGACTGTTCTCTCCAAGGGAGCCAAAGTGAGCTTGTCATTCAGTTCTAAGGCAACCACAACTCATTACAGACCGTTTGTCTGCTTCCCATGTGACCAAAAACAGGCCCCCTGTCGGTTGTGGCCTGAGCAGTATGGTGGGTGTCCATACTGGTCACACACAATACACGACGCATACAACGGGCGAGGACATACCGATTCAGCCCTTTTTATTCAGGATGGAACATTCCAGCTCCGTATTGCTGATCCTTAGAACCAGAGGTGAGTGGAGGGAGTCATAGGCAAACTATACAACTCTCAATACAGCTCAGTGCCCTCATGCAGTATTAACACTTACAGGGAATACGGTTTAGCCTCTCAAGCCCAGGTACAAATTTCCGCCAACATTCTCTAGGCAGAACAAACACTTCAAGATCAAATACCTCACAAATAACCTAACAGACTCTACTCTTCCTTAATCGAACCCAGGAGCTCAAAGATGTCTCTCATTGCTTCCTGTGCACCTCCCTCCAAAGACCTCTGCTGGCCGCTGCCCCATCACCTTTGGTAGGCTCATTCCCAAAAAGGGACCCCCAACAGAATGTACCCCTCCACCAAGTCGGGTCCCACTGTGGAAGCCAGAGGAAGTAAGTCAGACCCAGCCACAGGGAGTCTGTTCCTTCACAGATCAGAATGTAGATGGCTTTTCCCTGCGTGGAATTTGCAAACATAACTGTTAACACTCAGATTTTCTCCAACCCGGGACAATTCTTTTGGTGCAATGGAACTTTAACTAAATGTGTAAATGCCTCCACAGCAGGACCTTGTTTTTCAGTTACGGTAGTTCCTCAGCTCACCTGTATGGTCAGTCTGAGTTAACATGGTTACTCTCTGTCCAAAGGTCAAGGAAAGCAGCATTCCTTCCTATAATGGTAGGTATAAGCCTAGCCTCTTCTATCGTAGCATCTGGAATAGCTGGAGGCACACTCAGCCACCCCATCATCTCAGCACAAGATTTCAAAGACCGATTACAGATCACCTCAATGTCCGCCTCAGCCTCCTCAGCCTCACAGCAGCGCCAGATTACTTCTCTGACCCAGGTTGCTCTACAAAACTGACAGGCCTTAGATCTTCTAACCGCTGAAAAAGGGGGTACCTGCCTCTTCCTCAGGTAAGAGTGCTGTTATTACATCAGTGAATCTGGACTCATAGAGAAAAACATAGAAACACTGACCTGCCTAAGCAAAGAACTTTGCAGTCACAGAAGGAAAAATTATTCCCCGTTTGACTGGTTGCAATCCCATTTAGCCTCCTGGCTGTTGCCACTAATCCTTATCTTCTTATTTTTTCTCTTAGACCAATGCTTTCTCAGATTTATCCAGCGGCACGTACAAGACCTGTTTAGGGTCACAGTGAATCAGCTTCTTCAACACTTGTATACCCACTTGCCCATCAGCCCTCCTTCGGCCTGCTCCAGTGTCTAGGCCCCACAGTGCCCCCTACCAGCAGGAAGCAGCCAGACAGGCTACAACTCCGCTTATCACCAAAAAGGCTGGAATGCTGGGCAGAAACGGGAACAGGTGGGGTGGGTAAGTGGAGCAAGATCCTGACAGACAGTGCGCAACACCTCCTGATGATGGCCTTTAAATCCCTGATGCAGATGGATAGTGTGCTAGTCTGGGTAGACTAGAGAAACAAATTCATAAACACATGTATGTATATAAGGGAGAGGTTTATATACAAGAGCAATTGAACATTGAGAAAACATCCCATCCCAGTCCAGATCAAGTCCATAAGTCTGCTATTAGCCCATATGTCCGATACTAATCTATAAAGTCCTCTTCAGACTCATGAAACACATGCAATGAAGCCAAATGCAGGATGATCACAAGCCAGTGGGTAGAAAGTCTTTGGCT